GTGCTAGGATTACAGGCGTGAGCCACCGCGCCCGGCCTAGAAAGTCCTTATAATACTCTGAAAGATTATGTGGCATTTTTCAGTTATTTGGCATCATTAAAAACACCTATTTCTCATTCCTGCTGGATTATTTTCAACTTTAAAATGAGTCCACAGATACAGTAGGAAAATATCTTACTCAGGAATTCTTTCTAAAACTTTGATTGTAAAAGACACAAATTTTCTTTTTCATGCCTACAGGAGGCTATTTTCATTTCTCACTCATGGACAATATTTGAGGACTTGCATATTTTTGTTTTAATCACCAAGAGGAATTAGTAGAAATCTTATTCCAAAAGAGTGTCCAGGAAATATTACTTCTTAATTTAAGAAAAGGACTCTGTTTTTAATGCTTAATAGTACTAAATTTGTATCAGCATTGAATTACACGTTACATTATTAAAACCTGATGTTCCACTTTACCTTTCTTTTTTTCCACCTCACTTTTCCAATAATAATTTCCCTATATTTATTCAATGCATTTATCTAATATTTATGTTTATAAGATTTTAAATTCTTTGTGTAATGTTGACAGTTTTTACATTCATGTTTGTTTTAATTTGAATTTTAAATAGATTATGGCCTGTGCTGTGAATCAGCCTGGAACCCTTCTGTTTTCATTCTCTGTGTATGGGAAAGGTCTCAGACAATGAACTGGACCACAAGTCCTTACTGAGTTTTCACAGAATTAGCATATCCAGAGTGTTTTCGACATGCCAGGAGTAGTGCTAGGTATTTTATGTACATGATCCTTGAGCCTTAAAACAACCTGGCAAGAAGATATTAATATTTGTATTTTATGAATGAAGAGTCTGAGATAAAGATGGGAAGTGACTTACTCAAGATCCTATAGTAAATAAGTGGCAGAGCCAATATTCCAACCCATGTCCATTTGACCCTAAGACTCATATTTCTTGCACCAAGCAGACATAGGATAGGTTGAAAATAGCATCAGAATTTAAGAACCTCATATCCATGTTTGTCACATCCAATTCATTTGATGGGAGATTTGGGGGTTAAGATATGTAGTTGTGATAGAGGTCCTTTGGATTTTTCATTTTTTTTAAACCACTCAAGTCTTGCGGAGGCACCACTCATTGCATCCAATCTTGACCATGAACCAAATTCACAAAAATTGAAGGT